AAAAAAACTAAAGAAATAAACAAATTCAAAATATTGGCAAATGAATAGATTCTCTTTGTCCTTTTTTCTTTTATTTCACTTATCTAATTGGAGTTCAAAGTATTGACAAATGAGTAACTTCTCTTTTTTGTCTTTTTTCCCTCTTATCTCACTTATATAATTGGAGTTCTTTTTACGTGTTTTCTTGAAGTCCACTTTACATGTTCTTTACTACTTATTCCACGCCCTGAAAGTATACTCTATAACAAATTTAGATAATGTTCAATAGACGTAATTTGAGTCTTAATAAATTCGAGAAATGCTTTGGCAGATACCTGGTGATGATCTTCCTAATGGAACCTTGGGAACTAAGGCTACGCAGTCACTGGGTGTTGAGAATAAAATGGATGAGAATAGTTTTGACAAAAGGAGGGTTATGCGGTTGAGCAAGCCAGTGGAGACCAGTGAGTCTGGTCAACTCTTTCAAACTCAAAAGAATGACATTAAACAAGAAACAATGCTTCCCATCGGTAATGTCAGTACATGCTTTTCAAATCTGAACCAGCAGCCCGTTGGAGCAGCTTCTCTATTTGGCAAGCCTGATAATGACAGACAATGCCAAGGGGTTAAAGATATGTACGAATCGATCAATCAGCCGTCTCTAAATTTCTCATTGAGTACTCTTGTTGGTGCTTCAAGTTCAGCACAGCCTTTTCCTGGTGGAGATGTTGAAGGAAGGGAACAAAGCAAAAGTTCTCCCTTTCAACTGGGCCAAAGGACACGCCATATATTGCCCAAGCCCCCCAAACCTAGCCCCAATTCAGGTTCTGAATCAAACAAAGCAATGGCTTCACAGACACGGGTTGCAAGGCCGCCCGCTGAAGGCCGAGGTGGCCGCAACCAATTACTGCCTCGATACTGGCCTAGGATTACAGACCAGGAGTTGCAACAAATATCTGGAGAGTATCCTTGTCAAAAGGTTACTATTAGTTATCTTTGAGTTGTGCATCGCCCCTATTTATCAAATTGGGATACTTTAACTATTATGTATATATGCGACTAATCTTTTGTAATTTCAATTTCCTCAAATAAGCCCTACTAAAAATGAAATGAAGGTATAAATGGCAATATTAGACCTAAAAGAAAAAATTAAATGTTAAAATGAAAAACTCAAGGAGGCTAAAATATTCATTCTCTACAGGGATGAGGCTCTACTTATGGATCTTTTTTATACCCCCCCCCCCCCCCCCCCCCCCCCCCCCCCCCTCCCCCCCCCCCAAGTTTTATATCATTTATGTTTACTTAACTGCAATTTCAGTTTAAAATCCACTATTGTACCACTGTTTGAGAAGGTCCTAAGTGCCAGTGATGCTGGTCGAATAGGCCGTCTGGTTCTGCCCAAAGCATGTGCTGAGGTAAGAGCTTACTTCTTCAGCTTTTTTGTAATTTGTGAATTTTGGACAATATGATATCTTGCCTGTTATCTTTATGGTCTCAAATGGTTAGCTTGTGATGCACCTTTTTTGCGTCATCAATGCCAATTCCTATGCAGGCGTACTTTCCTCCAATTAACCAATCTGAGGGTCTACCTATAAGGATTCAGGATATAAAGGGTAAAGAGTGGACTTTTCAATTCAGATTTTGGCCCAATAACAACAGCCGGATGTATGTTTTGGAGGGTGTAACTCCTTGTATACAGAATATGCAATTGCAAGCTGGTGATACTGGTAACTCTTCATTCTTTCTTCATATGAAAGAAAAAAAGAAATCTCTTCATAGGACCAACCCTTTTTGTATTAATTATAAACGTTATCTTGCATGTTTCCATCTGTTATTTCTTTTAAATTCAATGTAAATGGTAACTTGCCCCCTCCCCCCCCCCCCCCCCCCCAACCCCACCCACCACCCCTAAAAGAAAAAGGCAAGAAGGTTTATAGATCGGGTATATTTATCAGAGAAATCTTTTTCCATCTCTTGCAGATGGCTAGTTATCTTGATGCTGTCTTTCCTTTATTTCGCTCATGAAGGAATCTGTATTTGATGGTGATAGTGATTTTAAGAATATTACTGATATGGTCTATTATTGTAGTGATATTCAGTCGAATAGATCCGGGAGGAAAGCTTGTTATGGGATTTCGAAAGGCAACGAACAATGCTGACATGCAGGTTACCTACAAAGATATTGGTTGCTATAGTCAGCTTTCCTTTTCAAGTAATTATAGTGATTTTATTTCCCTTTTTCATATGCAAATAACAGGATCCTCAACCGTCTATCCTTCCCAATGGCAGTGGCTTTGCAGAAACTTCATTCACTGGCATGACTGAAAATCTTCCGGTGAGTGTTTACTTTAAGCCTTCTAGGTTTTTTGCTAAGCAAGTATTTGAATTTGCTCTTTCCCTTGATACAAATTCTTTTTCTCATCGAAACATGAAAAGAATGGAGGCAGGACAAGTGATGATTCTGTGAACCGGCAAGTGCCGATTTCAGAGAAGAAAAAGGCAAAGAACATAGGGTCCAAAAATAAGAGGCTTCTTATGCATGCTGATGATGTTATGGAACTTAGAATCACTTGGGAAGAAGCACAAGAATTGCTACGGCCACCTCCGACTTCCAAGCCTACCGTTGTTGTGATTGAGGACTATGAATTTGAGGAATATGAAGTACGTGCAACCCAAATGTAGAAAGTGTTACTTAAAATTTTTTCCTTTCTTTTAATTTTATGTCATTGTCCTCCTTTTTGATAGTCAATGATCGACAGTAGTAAGCTTAATGTCTAATGCTCTTTTTGTTTCTACAGGAACCACCAGTCTTTGGAAAGAGGACTATATTTACTGCCCGATCTTCTGGGTAAGGGAAAAACTGACTACACTGAGTGAAATTTTTCTGTAGTTCTCTATTATGATAAACGGATCAACTTGTGCAGACTTGAGAACTTTGATATTTTGTAGCTCAGCGTATTCAGAGAACTTCGTTCAATGTGCAAACTGTCACATGATACCTTTGAACTAGTTACGCCATTTCACTGTTTGATTATGTGCTAGATATTTTTGTTTTTCCAATGAGCTAAGCTGATTGCTAATTTCTGTTGTATTGTTGTGCAGGGATCAGGAGCAATGGGCTCAATGTGACAGCTGCTCTAAATGGCGTAGATTGCCGGTGCATGTTCTCCTTCCTGCAAAGTGGACTTGTTCGGACAATATTTGGGACTCAAGAAGGTCTGTATTTGGCTTCATCCATCTCCCACTTTGGCTTTATATTTGAGACTATGTTATTATATCATTTCAATTTCCCAAGATATCACATTCCTAAGAGAAAAATCATGCCCATATGGTGGTTCCTCAGTAGGTAAACCATAAACCAGGGTGTAATTCCGCTCAACCAATTTAGTGACTTCTTACTATGATATTGGTAGTCTGTGCAAACTGAGATGCTGGTGTTAGATGAATGTGACATGTTTTTCAGATGCAATTGCCTTTTTTTTCTTGGGGGTGAGGGGTTAGGGGTGAGGGGTGGGGGTATTAGCCTAAGCAATTTTTTTATTCATTTAATAACTTTTAGCTGTATATACTCGTCAGTGTTTGATAGTTGAGCTAGTTCTGCTATACCTTTGTCCAGGGATTAGATAGATACTCCCTGAAGAATGACATTTTCTAACCCTTTACTGCCAACTATTATTTCGCAGATGCTCTTGTGCTGCTCCTGACGAGATTAATCCGAGGGAACTGGAAGCTCTCTTTAGAGTTGGCAAGGGTATTGAATATTTTTCCTCATTGTTTAGCAGAAATCTTCAATTCCTACATATCTTTTTCATTTTGATTCTTTGTTAATGACATGGAATGTTCACAAGCATATGATCATGAAGTAGTAAGGAAATTTATATACATGGACAAGAATGACAGATGGGTGATTTGAGTGGGTTTAGTTTCTTGTAGAATTAAGATTTGGTTGTGTTTTTAATAACAGTTTCTTAGAGGTCACGGTTGCTAAGAAGTCAGTTTTCTCAAGGAAAAGTTGTTCTATGTGCAAGCTTCAACATTAACCATCAATTCCTAACGGATTGTCGTATGTTGCAAATGCAAGTGATGGAAAGGGAGAGTAGGGAATTTTCTGTTAAACTGGCTTTTCTCCTGAATCTGGGAATTCTACTTCTCATTTATATCTTAATATTCTTTATTGGCTCAAAGCATTACAATTTAGAAAAGATCCACTTAACTAGGGTAGGAGGGATAGAGAGGCTTCTTTTTGGTTTTTGACCTTTTCTGTGATATATTAATCAGTAAATCCCCTCCAGCCCCCACCCGGGGCGGGGGGGGGGGGGTGTGAAGGGCTGTATGATGAATGTGTCTGTAAATATTTCAAAAATAGTAGATGCATTATGTTTCTTGTATGTAACTCTATACAAGTGAAAGATATGAATTGTGAAATAAGATCGAGGCTAAATTTTCTACATTGACTAATGGGCCGGGTAACTTTTTGGATCGTATAAAATTTATAGCTAGAAACAACATCGACCTATTTACTGACGAAGTCTCTTTTTTATGCTTAACTATCAAATAAATGAAATGCGTATATGTTTCTCATGGTACTCTTGCAACAGTTTTCCGGATTGGTTTGTCTTGGTTATCACCTTTGTTTATATAATTTGGTCACTCACTATTATTGTCTCCTCATTCCAGATCTTAAGAGGCGAAAACTTGTAGAAAACAATGAAGATTGTGAGCCTTCTGGTCTAGATGCTTTGGCAACACTTGCTGTATTAGGAGATAATATTGGTGATTTAGGAGAGCCTTCAGTTGGAGCCACTACTAAACATCCTCGACATCGCCCTGGGTGCAGTTGTATTGTTTGCATTCAGCCTCCGAGTGGAAAGGGCAAGCACCAGCCCACATGTAAGTGCAATGTCTGCTTGACTGTGAAACGCCGGTTTAAGACACTCATGCTACGTAAGAAGAAGAAACAATCAGAACGAGAAGCGGAGCTTGCACAGGCGAAGGATCAGGTTCCTCCTAAAGATGGGTCGGAAACAGACGGGGGAAGTGGAACTGATCTGTTGCTTCATATGAATCAATCCGAGAACGAACACATGAATCTTTCCGAGAACGAAAGGGATACAAACGGGGATCAGACGGAGGAGTTTGGAGCCGGAAAAGGACAGTTGGACCTGAACTCCCACCCTAATCGCGACGATGACATGCTAGTCGAGCCCACTGCTGGAATGACCATGACGTCCCTTGTTAATGCCACCGATCTTCCTCTGGAGTATCTAACACAGAACGGGCTCGAGAGCTTGGGAGACTCTTTGCTCTCACAAGCTGCCGCTGAGAGTGAACGAAACCATCCTGATAATGGATTCACGAAAACTGCAGATGCTGAACAAGAGAATAAAGGTGATGAAGGGTAAATTCCCTAGATATTTTATTTCTTTTGTTTATTCAATTGTTTGAGCTTTTGTTAAGTTATATGCATAGTGTGTTATTTCACAACCCCATAGTTGTTGCTCTATACATACTCAAAAGTTGAAGGAGTCTATTTTGTCCTCCCTTCACTTTTTGTGGGTTCTCATATGTACCTTCTAATGGAAAAGGTGTTTTTGTTAATCTTTACTCTATCATTATGAAATGATGGATTTTATATTAAAATGGCAGCATTCAGGATTACAATTACTCAACTGAACTTTTTAGGCTTGCCACTTGACTTTAGTGAAAGATACTACGTGTTGTGCCTGTGCTTGCTTCTTTTACTTTTACCTTAGAGCCGGGGGTCTATTTGAAACAGCTACTCTATCTTCAATTCTTCACAAGGTTGGGGTAAGGTATGCGTACACTCTACCCCTCCGAGACCCCACTTTGTGAGATTAGACTGGGTTTGTTGTTGTTGCTGTTGTATCATAGAATAGGGAGTTTGATGCGAAACTCTAGTCCATTGCATGCCAAACAGTTGAGAGATTTTTATTTTTTTTATTTTTTACAGATAACATCTTTCACAATTATGTAACAAATGACAATAAAGCTTTCATAATTCTATAAAAAGATGAACAAAGTTGGTCCGGAGTTGTAAGTTATATGGAAGTTTTTCAGTGAATAGATTTGCGTATTCTAAGAGATGTGCTGCATCACCTCTTCTAGTGGTGGACCCAGGATTTTGGGCAAGCGGGCTCAGTCGGAGGGGTAACAACAGGAAGCAATTTTTTGTCCTTTTACTTCATAGCGTAATCTTAAAATGAAATCATCTTGAAGTCTGATACTATTGTTCTAACAAATTTTTGCTTATTTTAATTTAACAAATTTTTGCTTAAAATGAAATTATGTTAGAACTTTTCATGTTGCAGCAAAATAGTGGCTATTTTTCAATGACTTTGCGAATACACAGGACCTCACCAAAACTATGAACCTGCTTGACCACTTTTGCAGGAGCAAAGCATTTGTTATGCGGGTTCAAATATAATTTGTATACACAGTTTCCTTGCTTTAGTTGTAATTTACATAGATACACAGTATTATTTTCTTTTACCCTTTTCCTACTATAAAAAGGTGAACAGATTTGGTCCAGGGTTGGAATTTAGATGGAAGTTTTTCAGTGAATTAAAATAAAAGCTGATTTACTACACTAAGAAAAGAATTAATTTCTAACTTTAATGCATAAAGCAGAAACGAACATGCACTAATACGTACCTTCTCAACAATATATACAATAAGTCCGCAACAATTTTTTTGGGTACCAATTGCAACGCATTAATCAATATCTATATTTGGGTCCATTCTGCGCACCTAAAATAGTCTAAATTTCGTACGTTGATTAAGATTTGGCCAAAAGTTTTGTTTACCTCGAAAAAATACGAGTAACAATTAAATTTGATTTGTTGTTTGAAAGATATGTGATTTAGTTCAATACCAATTAATAATCAAGAAGTATAACGTATAAATGAAAGAAATGAGTAAATCAAACCAGCAGTGTTTCTAGGCAGTGTCGACCTCGAGCCAAGTGACCTCGAGATGAATTAAGAACAATAAAGAAAGAATAATAAAGCTAAAGGACAATTCTGATGAACAATGAGCGAAAAGTTGAGAGTATATTCTTTGCTAATGATTAGATGATCTTTACAAATGATTGGAGTCCCTATATAATAGGGCAACCCTAAATAAGGTACATTTCTATTTACAGTAAAGAATCTTATTGGACAGTTGTCTAACCGCCCAGTACGGGTTCGTACAAATCTATTCCGAGATTTACGCCATGATTTTGGGGACGTGACAGGAATCTTGCTCATTCTATTACAAATCTGTAACGGCATTATCTCGGGGTTGAGCATACTCGGCCTTGATACTCATCGTACTTCGATCCTCGGGCATTGCACTCTGTCTTCGAACTCGAGTCTAGTCCATCGAGCTCGAACTCGACCTTGCTTGAACTCGGGCTCAAGGCGGCCCCTCGAGCCCGGAAAATCGGGTATACCTAATTTCGATCATATACAAGTTTAATGTTTCCGATTCACAAATTGATATCTATCGGTTAAAAACCAAACCAAATCAAATCCAACCAAATCTATCACTAGATGGGGGTTTCTACCAATGCACACAGTCAAGAAGTACTCATTGGACTGGTAACCTCTCCATTTGCAACTAATGAATTAATGCTGTATTCAATAGCAGTATTACACATCAATGTCATGAGCGGATGTAGGGGCCGGAAGAATATATATATATATATANTATATATATATATATATATATATATATATATATATATATATATATATATATATATATATATATATATTGAAATTCCTTGATTTTTTACGTATTTACTTTTTAAATATTTTGAATCCTCGTAATAAAAATACTGGCTCTGTCAATTATCAATGTAATCAATTGATGCCACAAGAAAAATGATAAAAAAGGAGCCTGAAAAGTTTCCTCTGTCGTAGAACAACTGAACAAGGCTTATATCAAGGGTTTAACTTCTATATACAAAAATATAAAATTGTTATGAAAATAATAAAAGAACGAGAACAATATTGCAGAGAAAGAGGGAGAGTGAATTCTTATTGAATTTGGTAGGAATTACAATAGAATAGAACCCTCTATTTATAGGGAGAGGGTGACTTAGCCACCAAGCAATGAACCCTAGAATCTCTCTAAATATAGACATTCACCATAAATAAAATTCTATTTATAACACTCCCCCTTGAATGTCTATTCAACAGATAATGTGTCTCCTTAAAACCTTAACTAAAAGAAAACCCAATGGGAAAAAAAATTCTAGAAAAGGAAAAAAGAGTACACATATCTAATAATACGCCTTTTGGTTGCCTCGTTAAAAACCTTGCAAGGAAAACCCAGTGGGACAAAATCTTGTAAGGGAAAAAGAGTGCAACGCGTATTAACTCCCCCTGATGAGAGCATCAATTCACATCCTTGAGCCTTCGCATCACAATTGTGCACTAGCTTCTTGAACGTTGACGTCGGCAAAGATTTGGTGAATAAATCCTCCATATTAACTCCAATGAATATGTTGCACCTTGAAAATCTTTGCTATCACATTATCATGCTTATAGCTATAGCAAGATACATTTGTGCACAAATTGCACTGAGGATATGGTACTTCAGGACCAAAAATTGTATATGCTTTAAGCGATTTAAATCCTTCAAGGATTGTCATATAAGTTAAGTCATATAAGTCATATAATAGACTTTAGATGCATATCAAGTTTTCATGTCATGCTAGACAAATAAGATACCGAAAACTGATTGCACATATCATTGACTTTATACTTTTAAGTGTTTGAACTACATGTTCAAAACTACATGTCTTTCATATGAAACCAAATTCTACTTGAATTGTTTCTCCAGACTTGAGATCCTCATATATATATTTAGCGCTATCATAGATGTCGTCGACAAACATTTTATATCAGTTTCAATATTTTTTCATAAAGACATAACATAGAGATCTCTTCATTCATATTTTCAGGTACTTGAATCTCTCCTGAGATTTTATGAAGTGTTATGTCGTGTGATCTTCTAGATCACTTGCCTCTTTATTATGATCGTTTTGATCATTTGCTCATCTTCTTTATCAAGAAGTTTATTTGAAACCGATTGTCTATACGCTTTAAACGTACCATAGACTTTGTCCTTCTAGGATTTAATAGGAGCATTTGCAATGAGAATATAGTTACTTTCTTTGGGTCAGCAAATGCATCTGGCATGCTTTGCAATATATTGCAAATGAATTATCCTTTTATGAACTTCAAGTTCATATTATCTTATTCAAGGATCTAGATGTACAAATGATAATTCATTCCACGTAACTTTTTCTCAACTGTTTATCATGTCTCCCCCTCATGTTAGAAAAACTAACTTGTTTCCTCAACTTTGAGAATTCACCTTTGTGCGTTATGGTGTTAGTCAAAATATACACCGCACATCAATAATAATAAAATGCAATTATTTGGTCCCTGACCCTGAACCACTTGTGAGGGGAGAAAATAATATACTTTGGTATATACCGTATATCAAACTGATATAGATAACTTTATTCTCATAAACAATTGTTTAGCTATTAAGTGGAGGCACTCAATAAATCATTTTGCTAAACCAACTGTGATGTAAACCAACTTATCAAGATGAAATTCTTGAATAGAAAATCTGGAATATGCTCTAAATTAAATTATTGAGCAAGTTACCTCGCAAACACCATGTTGCGGGTTAATAATAATCGCACATATAACCATCTCATAGATGCATCTTATGTGGTATACATGGCAGGTGAATGGGCTCATATTCACCTTTGATATTTCCAGCATTCATGGGATTCAATCCCAATTTTAGTTGATCTATTAATTAATGAGAACAAGCAATATAAGAGAATTCGTAAAGAACTTTCATGTTCTTTAATATTTACCCATGTGAATTTTCTATTATTTTTGCACATCATACTCAAATTGATATGGTTAAACCAATTATGCCAATTGAATTAATTATCAATATTGATAAACTTCAGATTTACACCATGACGTGTGCAATTATCAATAAACTCCAAGTTTATTATGATATGGGTTTTTATATCAATAAACATCCACTTTAGTATGGTATTCTTTTATTTGTGTAGTACAAACTGGAGAATAAAGCGGGTAGCTTTTCACATACATATTATCCCGCTACAAGTTGTAGTAATAGAAGATATTAAATCTTTCCTTTATTTATAGTCTCAATATAATCAACCGCTTTCGCGTATACTTTGGAAACTAAATAAGTTTCTTTGAGACTTACTACAACACAATACCTAATTGGTAATCAATTGTATTTCTCCAAAATAGTATAATTGGCTCTTGCAGAGTTCTCAATTAATTTTGTAGTACCACATATTCATCAACACCTATATGATGAATATCTCTTTTAAAAAGAAAGTTATACCATTATGGTTATGGTCAAAATTATATGCAAGATCTGTTTCTTGCATTACCGTTGTCTTTTAATAATCACAATGCCAAAATATTTTGGCGTACAATAGGTACGTGACCAATGACCATTCATGCCATTCTTATATCATCTCAAACCTCCTTTTAGAGGTGAGTGCGGTATATTCACTACCACTAGCACGTTCATATTCTTTGAAGAATGAATATGTATTCATAAATCAGATGTTGTCACATTCACATCATGAATGGAGCATAATCATCTATATGTGCTTAATAAAATCTCATGTCAAATCGATGACAAATATTACTTTCACAGAGTGAGGGATTATTTTGAGAATCCTTATTATTCTCATTATCACAATGATGACGATTATAATTTCGTCTATTGCCACGTCCACATCCATTGATACCTTCACGGTAATAATTTTGTCTTCTTTCAGACTTATCACATATTGCTATCACATTCTCTTAAGGGAATGAGAATGGAGCAAATTCAATGGGACGGGTTTCCACTTTTTGTGTCCATAATCATACATGAATTTGATCATGGCAAGACATAGAAATTTTTACCACTTCAGGTGGTTATAATTTCTTACAAACTCCATTAGAGTTATAATCAAACTTTGTTGTCTTTGCTTGTATATAAAATCAAATTATAGAATTTCAAGAATTTAAAAGAGAAAAACAAAGTAAAATACTTACCTTAAATCCAAAATTTAAGCATGAAGGAAATTCATAGAACAATTGACAATCATTATGATCAATTACAAAGCTTCTACTCAATTGGTTAGAGTCTCGTGCTGATAACGTGTTATGAAAATAATAAAAGAACAAGAACAATATTGCAGAGAAAGAGGGAGAGTGAATTCTTATTGAATTTGGTATGAATTACAATAGAATAAAACCCTCTATTTATAGGGAGAGGGTGACTTAGCCACCAAGCAATGAACCCCAGAATCTCTCTAAATATAGACATTCATCATAAATAAAATTCTATTTATAACAAAAATAATATTTTTATAACAATATCAGATCACATAGAAAATAATTACAAGTTATTATCCAAGATTTGAAAAAAATAATATAAATAAAGCAAATAACCTCCCTACTACAACAGGAAATTTCATGGCAATGTAAAAATTCTTTTGTACTTATTTAAACAAGAAATAATATTTGCCTGCAAGTTGGACACGAAGAATGCGATGAAAACCATTTGTCTATGCAATGAACATGAAACTCATGATTACAACTTGGCAAAATTCTCAATTTTTCTCCTTGTTGAAATTCTCCAAGGCATATTGGACAATCTGCAGTAGCAGATAACATCTTCTGTCGTTGCTCGTATACTATCACTGGAATCCTTGTCAATTCACTTTTATCCAATCCATTTGACGACAAACGCGCAAGTGAAGCTTCTGCAGATTCAAATGGAAATCTCCCGTTGTGTCGTAAGACACAACGTATAATTGCCCTCAACACGAGGGCAATTAGCAGCGCAAATAGCAAAGTTGCAAGAACTATTAGCAGACAACTATTTGAAATTGAGTCGTTGTTGTTGATGTTGTTGTTGTTTAATTGGCTTGAGCTGTTCCTATGTTTAGATCGCACCCACACATTATAACCCTGAAGAAAACGAAGTAGATAGTGTTGAGACATAATATAATATAATTAAGTAATTCAAAATGCTATACTTGTTTCTAACAGCTTAAACTTTTAAATGTTGCGATTACATAATTCTAACATACCGTACTCATCTCTCATAGTAGAAATCTTGGCATTGCATTTCTTGAGAGAAAAACTGGAAACGTAAAGTGTGGAATATCACAAGATGAAGCTTTAATATAAATGCAGAGTATGATGTAAAAAGCTGGTAGGACTTTTTTTTTCTGCTGAAAAAAGCCGGTAAGAATTAAATGCAATAAAACATTTCCTGTTTTAGCAATAAGTTCAAAGTCAATCAGTACTATTGAAATATTATATTTTTTTCCATCACAAGAAGTGCCAGCTGTCAGAAGTGTCGTGATTGTTATCCACCCTCTTACATTACAGGGATAAAAATAACACTATAATTCCGGGATTAGTAATACTGTGATTTTATCTCAATCAAACGTGAAATAAACTTATCTTAGATGTAATTCCGGAATTAATTATCCCTTATTTCTCGTACCAAAACAAGCTATAATTGTAAAAGTTATCCCGAGATTAGCTAATACCACCAATCAAACATGTAATAAAATTAATTCCAAACTTTAGACCCGAAATTATTATCAATATCCCATGTACCAAACGGCCCCGCTGTGTGGATCCTGCTGCTCTACAACTATAATTCGTTATCCAGTAGTTAGGATAAGGAAGAAGATTAATATCGATTCTGGTTTGACGAGATAATATGAGTCATTTTAGACTATAGTATTTTCATTTAAAAAATGAAAAACGATAGCCAGACAACATATTTTTTTATTCCTGACATCTAGGTGGACCAGAATTAATTTTAGACGTCATGAGAAGTGTAGAAGTAAGCTTTATATAATTCATGCAATGATTCAAACGTGATAGAAATTATTATTTTTATGTGAATTTCTAATTTTAAATATTTTAGATAATAATGGACTGACAGGCTTAAATTGATCAGCAGCATGGACTGAGATCTAAGGCCGGCTCTAATGTTATAACTAGTAATGCTATGTCTTAGGCCCTCAAATTTGAGGCCCCATTCTTTAGAAATAATAGGATTATAGGATTTAAAAGTGTTAAGGGAAATATTACAAGTAGAAAATAATAGTTTAACTGATTTACTTAATTAAATAACAAAACTTGATTCATTTCCAAATGCTTATAGAATAATAATAATGGTTCCTATAACTATTGCCTCATCGAAAAGAAGTTTTTCAAAATTAAATGGATATAATCTTATTTAAGATCAACAATTCCTTCAGAAATATTAATTAAATTGGCTATATTATCAGTTGAAAACAAATCGATTATAAAAAATTTATTAACAACTTTGCATAAGCTAGAAAAGTAGATTTCAAATAATTATATATATTATAATTTTTTAAAATATTTAAGCCTCACATTAAATTTTGATTTTAGGTCACATATGGAACCCCTGACTATAATGATTCATATAATTGATCTCAACTAAGATTGATCATTGAGATATTGGAACTCCATATTTACAGTCGAATACCATATATAACAAATATAGACAGTTAGATATACATTTTAATACTCATTCTTTTTCACCATCGTGTAGAACCAATGGTTGCCTGCAAGTTGGGCACGATGAATGCGACGAAAACCATTCATCGATGCACGTGACATGAAAGCCATGATTGCATCTTGGCAACATTCTCAACTTTTCTCCCTGTTCAAATTCTCCGAGGCATATTGGACAATCTGTAGCAGAAAACGTCCTCATTCCTGGCTCGTAAACCATCACTGCTATCTTTTTCAACTCACCCTTGTCCAATCCATTGGATGCCAAATGTGATGTAGCAGCTTCTGTGGACTCTAAGGGAAATCTCGTGTTGTATCGTAAAACAGAACGTATGATTGCTCTCAGGTCAAGGGCACATAGCAGAGCAAGTAGCAGAGCTGCAAAAACTATTAGCAGATAGCTGTTTAAAATCGAGTTACCATTGTAGGATTGGCTTGAGCTGCTTTTAGAATTCGATGGAACCACCACACCGCAACCCAGAAGTAATCGAGGCAGACGGTACTCATCTCTCATAGTAATAATCCAGCCTTTGCATCTGTTGAGATACTCTGTGAAAGTAGCCTGTTGTATTAAATTGTGAAGCTAAAGGACACTGAAAGCTGATGGTAAGAAATGAATGAAAGAAAACATATTTCGGGCTTGTTGTCGTCTTCTTTTTAAAACAAGTGGCACATCTACTTCAAAATGTCAGCAAAACAAGGCTGCTCCTCCTCTTATCTTCTGGGTGTGATGAGGAATTAGGAGAGGTTGGGGACCATAAGCTTTTCATACAAAAATAAAGGCAGACAAAAAATAAATTCTGCAACAAAATTTGGGCAGACCCTTGATAGCTTCTTTTTTTTGTCACTTTCCATGAATGATATACAACAATATTCATCTGAAATGTTATGCATCGAACAAGATACATAGGAACAGCTTGACATTTACATGATAAAATATACAAGGCCATACCTCTGCTAAACAAAACAAAAAGGCACATATATTAGCAAATTTCTTCAAAATAAATCTCTACGACATCATGTTTCTCCACTTGTCCTTCAAGTCACCCTGAACAAAATTGTCCGGACTTCATAAGTAAGAGTATTAAAAGACATATATATTACTAGCAGCATGAGAATGCACTTACTGCAGTCCTCACTACAAATATGTCACGATAAGTATTTAAGATGTGCGTCCAGTTTCCGGAACCATACCTACAAAAAGAAAACATTTAGAGCGCTAAAACTTGTGTTGACACTTCTTTAAAGTTAAATGGAAGTATGAGATCCTACATACTTCTGTACACCAGTTCTCAAGGTGTCTTCTTCCAATGCACTCCATTTCGTGGGCTTTCTCCTCGTGGTAAAGTTTTTAAATTCATATTTCTTCAAGGGAGAGATTTTCGTCCTCTTCGGGCTAGGTAATGTAAACCTCCTCACCCCACTTGGTGATCCTTCTTTTGACACATCTGCTGAATCGTCTCGCTGTATACAAATCAGCATTTGTTACCATTAGCAGGCACAATACTGCCATTTTTAACTTTCACCATTTGGATAATTTTCCCAAATACAGTTTTTGTGCTTAAGAAAAAAAAAATCGAACAAAGAATATGCTTTAATGTTTATGCTCTAATATTCCTCTGGCAAAACCAAAAGCTAGAGCTAATATCTGATCTAACCTCACTCCAACAACAACTATGCTTCATTCCCAAACAAGTTGGATAGGAAAAAGCATGCATTTGTAAAGTTTGTTTTTTCCTTGGGGGGGCTGGGGGGGGGGGGGGGTGAAAGCGGGTCACCTACGTGACAGGCGGGAACACTCACCACTATACTAACCTCACTATTTTACAAAATATCACTTAGTTACTTGATACAACAACCACAACAAACCCAGTTTGATCCCAACATGTGGGGTCTGGGGAGGGTAGTCTGTACGCAGACCTTACCCCTACCTAATGCAGGTAGAGAGGCTGTTTCCAATAGACCCTCGGCTCAGGAAGGGCAAGAAGAAGTAGAGGGAAGCAAGGAACACTTAGGTACTTGATAGTGGCAAAAAGTTTGGCACATTTTGTCACTAGGCTAGTAAAGCTTTGAAAATAACCAAGACTATCTTGCAATAAAGACTTCGGGTTAAAATTCCCATATACATTCAATAGCCTAATGGAGAGCATTGGTGCATTAAAACGTGACCATCAGAACCATTTGACCATTTTAAGCGGGTGTAGGCAAGAAAAGCTTTCAATGTACATACCTCAGATGTATGGGCAGCACTCTTTCGGTTCATTAGGTCTGGCTTGGATGCAGCACTAGGATGACAATTACGCTGTGCCTCACAATTCTCTCCATTAGCTTGATCCATTCTGCTACTGGCAACCACTGGATGAGGGGCTCTGTCACTGTTATTTTCGGCAGGCTGATGACCCATATGATCTCTCACCAGAGAAGACAGAGTCTCAGCAAACTGTAGTGCATCAGGTAGAGGATCCTTCACCATAGCACGCAGCTCCTTCGAACTCAATTTAAGTGCTTCCTGTGCTTTCTCGATTTCAGGCGTAGGCAGGAAGCCGTCCTGTCCACCAGATGCATCAAGTCCCAACTCAATAGAGTCACTGATCCTAACACCTCCACATGTCCCAGCTGATGCTCCTCTGGGGCGTCTGAAAGCAACATGCTTCTGCCTGGGCAATGCATTTCCTTTGCGCACTTCTGCAAGCAGAAAAAACAATCATCTCAACATGAAACCCATAAAACTGATACGAGTTCACAATTAAAATATCAAAAAAAATCTTTATCCCTTAATAACGATAAAATAGCTATGGGTACAACAAGGAAATGTCAAGAAGATATCTTTTATCTCTTATCAAAGGATACCCATATATAGTTATATACCAGAAAAAAGCAAAAAGTTCAGCCTTTAACACCAACATCCAGAAATTGGTCGTACGTTCACTTACATAAACCAATAATCAGATCATAGGTACTTATAGAAAGTTCTCACACAAATACATATCCCAAGTTAGATCATATCATAGAGTTTAATAACACATTCACACAAATATTTAACATCTTCAGACATATTTTGCAGATGTAATGTTACATATTACAACTCTACCTCTGACATTATCCCAGCAAGTCCCTTGTTCATTCACCCCTCCAAAAAATGCCCTCACCGTATCATCACTCCTGTAAGTCTCCGCCACAACATCAAGAAAAGGAGGCCCAATTCTCTCTTTAGCTTCTCTAACGAAAACCTTAACCGCCTCAACAGGAAATATGCCTTTACTTCTCCTTATCACATTGTCACAACACTTATCTTCCCATAACGCTGCTTCTATTTCATCCCTCCAATCCCATAACTCTTCACATACGAAACCTACATTCTCTATTTTTTCCATTAAATTAATTCTCTTTTTCCATATCCTCTTTACTGCTTCAAAATACTTTCCTTTATCACTTTCCGCCCCTTTTTCATTCAAAAATTTCACCGTGCATTCTACTGCCACCGAACAATACGCGGATTTCATTTCCTTTAAAGTTTCAATTCCTTCTTGATGATCTAGTTCCTCGAATAGTTCGAGAAGTTCGAGGATTTTCTCAGTAACTGAACTGTTAGAAATCTCGGATTCGAGTTTTCTGAGGATTAGGGCTTTTTTGAGGTTCAAATTATCGTTTGGAAGTGGAAGAGTGTGAATTAGAGCGTTGAGTATGCTGTCATCGAGCGGTTGCCGGAGGATGAATTCGAGAATCCAACGGGAAATATCAATATCCATTTTTCAAGCGTGAAATGAGCCCTAAATTCCCTAAATTGAATTTCGAATGACTATCTAGGGTTTGTTGAGAAAGGGGATTTTGTCGGGTCGGGTGCTTCTCATTTCTATACTTCTATTGTCTTTCTTCCCGGTTTCATAAAAGCTCCGGCCGAAATACTCCGGCGACCTCCGATAAGATATACTCGTAATTGGAAATGATCTTACTCCTATTAAATGGTGGATCAAATGATTAAAAATTTCATTCATTGTAGGAGTAATAATTAAGTATTTCCTTTGTTTAAAATAGAATGGTGACTTCCCAAGTACGATATCAAATCTTTTACTTAGTTTTTTGTGCCAATTCGTAAACTGATTTTTTAATCATTTAAAATTAGTTTTAACTTTGTGCAAAAAGTACACAAAACTCGATTAACTCTATTCAAGTCATAATTCAAGTAAGATAAGATTTTCTTTTTTATTGTGCACCTTGTAAAAAGCAATTACAAGGCTCTGATTCAAATGCTTTGATTCAATGGCTCTGCAGGCGCACGTTAAGCAGGACTAGCTAACATACGCATTCAAACCATGACTCGACGGAAAAACAAAGGCGAGACACCGACGACGATACCGGAGCAGGAAGAAGGAAGTAGAAGCTAATTCAGCGGCAAGGAAATTGACATTCTCTATGCAAAAAGGAAACCCTAGTCAAACAACTCCAACGATGGCTGAGGTAGTCAAAGGAAATCGATCTCAGCAGCAAGGACTTCAATTGAAATACTATCCGCCGATTATGAAGGAAGGAACAAAGATTGTGCGATTAAATCTGAATGAGGTAAACGAACAAACTCGAAAATGGAAGGCAGCTTTAATCGGGTATGTTCTGGGTGGATCACCATCATTTAAGGAGATGCTCAAATTTGTGTATGGAGTGTGGAATTTTGTCAATATTCCACAAGTATACCTACACGACGAGGGATATTTTATATTCAAATTTGATACTGAAGATGATAAGAACAAAGTCATTCAACAAGGGCCATACACAGTTCAGAACAGACCTATGATCCTGAAACAATGGGACCCTGATTTTCAGTTGAGTAAGGAATTGACGGGGAATGTGCCTGCATGGGTCATTTTCCCTAGTCTACCAATTCAATACCGAAGCAAGGAAAATTTGGGTAGGATTGCTAGTTACCTAGGTAAACTTATTTGTTCAGACAAATTAACAGCTAGCTGTGATAGAATTTCATATGCTCGTATCCTAATTGAGATGGATATAACACAAAAGCTGCCTCATTCTCTGATGATTGAAGTGGCTGATGGAAAATACAGGGAACAAATGTTAGAATATGAGTGAAAACCACTATTATGTGAGGAATGCCTTCAGCTAGAGCAACATAAAGAAGGGTGTATAAAAGCCCAACAAGCACAAAGGCAGGTGGACCAACAGTTTATGAAACCAAAGAAACAACAAAGGACAAAGAAACCAGCAGGACAATGGAGAGTAAAGGTGGTGGCAGAGAAAGATCAGAAAGAAAAGGAAGACAGCTTGGAGCCAAAGCAAGGGGAGATTATAGAAGCAGGATTCTCACAGCAAAAGAGAAAAGGAAAACAAGTCATGAAGGATCAAGGAAAGCTTAAACAGCATGGGGCATTGTCAGATAAAAATTTAGAAGATCTATTGAACAAAAACAGATTTGTTCCTTTGAGAATTCAAGGGATGTGCAGTACTGACAAAGTGACTGATGGGGTTGTCCTTGATAAGGAGAATCCACCATGATAGTTAGCTCATGGAATATTAAAGGGCTGAATAAGCCCTTCAAGCAGAAAAAACTCAAGGCATTTCTGTTTGATCATAAAATAGCTTTACTAGGCTGCCTTGAGACAAAAATAAAGCCTAGGAGTGTGACTAAAGTGAAGGCAAAGTTCAATAGAGAATGGAAGGTATATTCTTATGAGGCAATAAATAAAAGGGGAAAGATCTGGATTCTGTGGAAATATCAGCTGGTACAAGTCATTAGCAAGTGATCAATTAGTCCATTGCAAAGTAAGGGATAAAAGTACACAGAATACTTTTGAAGTTACTTTTGTATATGGGAAGAACACCGGTGCAGAAAGAAGGAACTTATGGGATCAATTGAGGAGAATTCAGAGTAATATTCAAGAGGCATGGTTGCTAATGGGAGATTTTAATAGTATGTTGTTTGTTGATGATAGAATTAATGGACAACCAGTACAACAAGCAGAATTGATGGACTTTCAGAGATGTGTTGATGATATTGGGGTGGGACAGCTAAACAGAAAAGGAAGCAAATGGTGTAATAAGAGGGATGCAAATGACAGGATATATAGTAATATAGACTGGGACTTTGGTAATGCTGCTTGGCTGACAAAGTATAGTAGTGTAGAAGCTATATTTGAAAACCCAGGTGTCTCAGATCATACTCCTATTGTCATTAACACAATGGTAGTCAAGTCCTATATGCCTAAACCATTTAGATTATGCAATGTGTTATTGCATAATAAGGAGTTTGAATAAGCTGCTGAGGAAGTATGGGGGGGCAACATATAGAAGGGTACAAAATGTATTCTGTATGGATGAAATTGAGGAGATTAAAGGATAGAGTGCTGAAGCTGAACAAAGAGATGTCATCATTAGAAAAGAAGTTGGATAGCCTAAGTCAACAACTGAATATCACTCAGGAGAAGCTGAACAAAGATCCATTCAATGAGGTGTTAATTACAGAAGAAAGGGAACTGATAAGCCAGAAAATAAAGTGGGAAGAAGTGAATGAGAAGGTGTTGAGACAGAAATCCAGAGCAGTCTGGATAAAAGAAGGAGATCAAAATACCAAGTTCTTTCATGCACAGCTGAAGGCAAGACAAGCAAGAAACAGAATTGGTTCAATATGCAATGACCAAGGGGTCAGGATTACAGAGCCAAGAATGATAGAACAAGAATTCACAAGCTTTTTCCAAACCTTACTTGGAGAGTGTGCTGAAGAACTAACCTGTATAGATCTGGAAACAGCTAGGAAGGGCCCTTGTCTTACAAATGAACAACGGCAGGAATTGGTCAGACCAATAACAGAACAAGATATAGAGTTGGCAGTTAAAGAGTTACCTAATGACAAAGCTCCGGGAGTGGATGGCTTCCCTGCAGAATTCTTCAAAATATACTGGAAACTTGTTGGAAGTGAAGTCCAACAAGCCATTAAGGATTTCTTTGAGAATGGGAAATTGTTGAAAAGTATAAACTGCACAACAGTAACTCTAGTGCCTAAGGTGAATAGCCCTACATATGTAAAGGAGTTTAGACCAATAGCATGTTGCTCTACAATCTACAAGATAATTGCAAAAATCCTGACAGTAAAGCTGAAGACAGTGGTTGATTATATTGTGGGGCCAGCCCAATCTGCATTTGTAGAGGGAAGAAATATATTGGATAATGTGATCATAGCCCATAAGTTAGTCAAATGATATACAAAGAATGGGGTATCACCAAGGTGTTTGATTAAGGTGGATATAAGAAAGGCGTATGATTCAGTCGAATGGCCATTCCTAAGAATGATTCTGATTGAGTTTGGTATGCCTAGGAAGTTTGTGCAGTTGGTAATGGAATGTGTAACAACAATGAGTTATTCTCTATTGCTCAATGGAGGATTAACAACAAGATTCCAAGCAAAAAGGGGCTTAGACAAGGAGACCCAATGTCTCCTTATTTGTTTGTATTGGTAATGGAGTACCTTAATCGATCCTTGAAGACATTGGAAGGAATACCAAACTTCAATTACATCCGAGGTGTGCCAAGCAGAAAATAACTCATATTTGTTTTGCAGATGACCTTATATTGTGTTGCAGAGCAGATAAGATATCAATTAGATTACTCATGAGCAGATTCCAGCACTTCTCAGAAGTATCAGGACTGAAGGCAAATATGGAGAAAAGTGCCTTATACATTGCAGGGGTTTCAAAAGAATTTAAGGAAGAGATGATAACAGAGATGAAGTTTGCAGTAGGGGAGGTGCCATTCAAATACCTTGGAGTCCCATTGTCAGCAAAGAAATTATCTATACAGCAATGTATGCCATTAGTAAAAAAGATTACTGCTCGACTCAAATGCTGGACAATAAAAAAAAAATTCTTACAGTGGTCGAGTACAATTGATTAAAAGTATGATCTTTGAAATGCAAACCTACTGGGCATAGATCTTCTTACTTCCAAAGAAGATATCTAAGCTTATAGTAACTGCTTGTAGAACATTTCTATGGACTGGAAACACTGAAATCTCAAGAAGAGCACTGGTTGCATGGGATAAAGTTTGTATGCCATACTCAGCAGGAGGATTGAATATAATTGACATAGTGAACTAGAATAAAGCTACTCTTTGTAAGATTCTTTGGGCAATTACTGAGAAGAAGGACAATCTCTGGATACAATAGATACATAGCTATTATATAAAAAGAAAGGAGATTATGTCAATTCAAACACCTAAACAAGCATGTTGGTTGATTAGGAAAATATTTGATACTAGAGAATGGTTAGTTAAAAGGGATCCAAGAGCTTACTTGAACAAGTATTGTAGCAAAGGGAAGTTGAGTATAAAGAAATTATATGTTGCAACAATGCCCCAATATCCTAAGTGTAGTTGGAAGAAGATAACAATTGGTTCAAAAGCACTGACAAGACATCAATCCATACAGTGGTTGGCTATGCACAAGAAGCTCACAACAGTTGATAGATTAAGAAAAGGGGGCATATCAGTAGCTACTGATTGTGTGTTGTATGAAAAATCTATTGAAGAAACAATGGAGCACTTATACTTTGAATGTGATTACTTCGGACATCTGTGGGCAACCCTATTAAAATGGCTGGGGGAAACACACACCATAGGGAGCTGGAATGCTGAAACAGAATGGCTAGAAAAAAGAAGTTCGAGCAGAGTTAGAGCACAACTGGTAAGGTTCCTATATGCAGCTGTTGTATATCATGTTTGGGTAGAGAGGAATCAAAGGAGATTTCAAGACAAGAAGATAACAAGCCAACAGAGGATAAAGTTTATTATCTTAGAGCTTCATACAAGAGGGCAGAAAGAAATGAAATGGCAAAAGGAGCTGGACAAACTGAACTATTATCCTAGTTAGAGAAGTAGAAAATGTATAGCAAGAGTTAGAAAAAGTTAGAAGTCAGTGATTGTCAAATATTTTTTTTCTTGAGGAGAGACTAGTTCAAGAGTCCAAAAGAACTAGTGAGTTGTATGAGCACGTGATTTTTCTCTCGCGTGAATTACTCCTACAGAATTCTTAGATTTAGGATCTTTCTTTCAATTATTTGATTTTTAGGATTAATTGCATAATTTTCATGTTTATTTGCATTTCTGTGTGCATGTTAATTTAGATAATTCATAAAAAATACAAAAATATTGCATTTGCACTTAAGACTTAATTTTACATATTTTTAGATTAATTAGTAATTAGGGTTTTACAAAAATACAAAAATCACAAAAAATCGATTTATTTTTAGCTTTGAATTTTGTTAGTTTTCCTTTAATTTGTTTTAATTAATTGTGTTAATCATCATTTANGATTTAATTGCATAATTTTCATGTTTATTTGCATTCCTGTGTGCATTTTTAATTTATAAATTCACAAAAATTCAAAAATACGTTGCATGCACATTTAGGGTTTAATTTTGCATATTTTAGATTAATTAGTAATTAGGATTTACAAAAATACAAAAAAAAAATCACAAAAATCGATCTATTTTTAGCTTTGAATTTTGATCAATTTTCCTTTAATTTGTTTTAATTAATTGTGTTAATCATCATTTAGGTTTAATTAGTTTAATTAGGTCTTAGGTTTTAATTCAGATTTTAATTTTTATTTTTTGAAAAGAAAAAAAAAGAAAAGAGATAAATAAAAAAGGGAATTAAAAGAAAAGGATTTTTTTTTTTAAAAAAAAAAAAAGAGAGAGAAATTGAGTCTTCTTTATTTAAGAGACTAATTTGGGCCAATGTTTGATTTTAATCCCCCAGGCCCAAATGTTAACCTCTTACCCATCCAAACAAGCCCCATACCAGCCCAAACCCACGTCCAATACCCGGTCCACCCCCATCCAATTCAAACGACGTCGTTTGCTCTCCGTTTGATCTCAACCGTCGAGGTTAGGAGATCTAACGGATGAGAAGCTAGGGTGTTTTTGATATATAAGTGTCCTAACGACACCCCCTACCCCTCGTCTATCATCTCCCAAACCCTAGAGACAGTCTCCCCCCACCGTCTCCGCCGTCTGCCGCTGCCGGAAATCGCCTACGCGGAGGCGAGTCCCCAAACCACCCCAAAAATTCACCATGACCTCCTCTCATCTCCCTCATACCCATGCCACCATTTATTCCCCTCGAATCCCACTGGAAACCCCCAAACATCCCAAACCCTAGCCGCCGCCTTTGAACCCTCCGCCGTGGCCGGCGGCGCCACCACCCAAATAGTCCCAAAATAACACCAAACTATCTCCACAATCCCCTCTTCACTAATCTATAGCTAATAACCCTCGAATCATCTTCCAGCTCTTTGAATTTCAAATCACAGTGGAGCCCTAAAAGTAAAAAATCGAGATTCTGCGTTTGTTCTTGGTTTAAAATGATTTTATTCGTTCGTTCTCTATGAGAACATACGATTAATATCAGTTTAGACCGGGCATCCGAAGGTTTGAGGATTCGAGCTTCCCTTTTCTTGGTCCGAATTATAGTAAGTTTTCTTTTCTCTTTGTTTTTTAATTAATCTTTTTCCTTTCTTAATTATCTTGCTATCTCTGTTTCTTCTTCTTTTCTTTTGGTTTGATTTTGCATGTGCCTGTTATGCAAGGTTGATTTACATCTGTTATTTAGTTTATTTTTATTTTTATTTTTGTTTGTCTTCTGGTTTATTTGTGTCGTCCCTGTTAATCACTCAACATTAAAGGCTGAGTTGATTTTGTGATGTTAAGGAGTTCCTGGTTCTTGTTCTTTGGGTCAATTGAACACCATTTTAATTGTGGTGTGATCATTAGGCCCAGTAATGAATTCATTCAGACCCATTGAATTGGGTCATTTGGCCCGGACCCCTGGTTGGTAGACTTAGGTAATTTTCAGGAGTCTTAAGGGTATATTAGGTAGTTTAAGTTAGAGAATCTTGCAGTAACAGAATAGGAAGCCCCTAGAAGCTTCTAGTGTGGGATTTGAATTTCAATTTCTGGTTTTGATAGTATTAACTTGGGAAACAAGTCAAGATTTTAGGGACTTTTAAGCAAAAAGAATAAATCAAAAGAGGACCTAAGGGGTAAACTAAAATCAGCAGGGCTGCCCTAATTGCTTGCCTATAAAGGCAGTGCATTCTTGCCTTGGATGGGAGGAGAGACCTATCAGAACTTGGAGATTTTGAAAGAGCTAAAATACAGAAATACAGATTGCTGAAAATTTGAGAGCTAAAAGTACTGCTTTACTGAATTTTTCCCTCTTTGATTCCTGAAATTTTCAATCCCTGAAATAACTGGTGATTTTTGTGAGGATTAAAAATGATTTGAATCAGAAGTTGAGATCGATTCTCCAGGATTTGAAAAGGATCTGTTGTTTCACTCACTTTGGTCTTAAAAGCTGGGCTGAATCTATTTGTTGAAGAGTATTACATAAGTTTGGTTTTTGGCTTCTAAATCTCTGTTGTTTGGAGTTGATTTCTAGCTGAAGCTACTGTTCTATTGCTGCTGCTACTTCCTTACTTCTTTTCCTTTAATTTCCAGGTACAAATTTCTGAATCCCTTATAATGTGAAATCCAGTTTGAAGATGAAATGAAGCAGTTTTACATCTTAATACTAGTTTTCTTTGTGCTGAAAGTATCTATTTCTCTCATGACTCTATACCTCGTTCATCAGTGATGTAGTTTTTTAGTGATTTTTTAGAGTAGTTGAGGTCTCAGGCTGTAACTAATTGTGGACTGTTGAGACTATGACGTATTTAGATCTTGTTCGTTTGTTTAGCTTTAGTAGTGTAGATTAATTTGGCAATCCATGTTAGCTTGAATGTAGAAGTGACTTGGGAACTAGTTGGTTTTATTATTGTCCAGTGTGTGTAAACTTTTAAGTGTCTTCAAGGTGTGCTATCATGTTTGAATGTTAATTTTGTTCATAAAGCATGGACAATCATCGAGAGTTTAGTTTATAATAGTACTGATTCCTTTCAAGTGTCTTCAAGGTTTACTATCATGTTTTAAACGTTAGTTTAAATTTAAAATTTGGAATATTGTGTGGGCCTGAAAGTGATTGCAGGATTAATATGTGTGTTTGTACCACTGTTAATTCTGTGGCTAATAGATGTTTTAAAATGGTTCTGAGTCGAATTGCGATCCATGCTTCAGTGTAGGATTTTCATAATCTCAGTTTTATGGTCACTCGATTCACAATCTGCAATTTGAAATTTAATCATTCATGCATTTTCTTCAGTTTGAACATGTTACCCACTGTAGCTTGTCCATTTATTTGCAATTGAAAAATGAAGCTAGAAGAGCTGGCCTGTGAGTTGAATCACAGATTCGAGCTGAGGGTTCTGTCTCTATTGGAAGCTATCCTTGCTCGATTTTGGATTCATTCTCAGGCTTAAGCATTTGTTTTAAAAGAATTTGAATGAGTTTGGTTAATTTGGGTCAAAGGGTTTAAATCAGAAACTCAATATTTAATTTCATGTTAATGTGTTGGTACCAATTTTGTTTGTATTACTATGTCTTGACCTGGACCATAAGAACTGGGTCCAACGTTGGCCCAGCTGCATAACAAGCGAGCCCAAATATTATGGATACCTGTGTTGGCCCACAAAATTGTTTAATTTCGCTAGTCCTGGGCCTACAGGGATTCAATATTGAGTCCCATGTTTAAGCCGCTGAAGTTTCGAAGTTGGGCTCAATTCTAGGCCCAAGCTTGGCATCCCTTTTTCTAACATGATGTGGGTCGGTTCTTTCAATTAGACTCTCTATTTCATTCCCTTTTCGTTGTTGCCTCTAAGGATCCGGAATTTATTTACCTAGATTTAGTTAATTATTTAGACTTCTTTAAATAATTTGGGGTGAGCCATACTAGATAATCAAATAATCCATGGCCCTTCGAGCTTTAGTTTGAATGCTTTTAAAAATGGAATTGGGGTGCGCCGCGCCAAATAAAATCACAAGTGTGCGGCCCTCTTTAATTATATGTTTAAAATCCTTAGAACTCGGGACGTGCCATTAGCAAATTTTCATGGCCTCCCGCAAAGTTAACAATGCGTTAGTTGCTTTAGGCGCGTTATTTAATAATTTTACCTTCTTAAACTCGGGTGTGCATTTCATGTGACCCAAATCCAAATCCTAAAGCGTTGAATAAAATGTGTTTTAGATTGCGGGTGCATTTCATGTGACGCGATCCAAAGACACGTTTTAAACGACGTTCAATTTTCCTTAAAATTAATTAAAAGCGGTAAATAATTTAAAATTGCACTATAGGTTGAACATGTATTAAAATCAGATAATAGGCCAATTATGATAGTTTAAGCGACCGTGCTAGAACCACGGAATCCGGGGGTGCCTAACACCTTCCCCCAGGTTAACAGAATTCCTTAGTCAGAATTTCTAGTTCGCAGACTTCACATGGAAAGTCGAAATTTTCCTCGATTTGGGATTGAAAATAAACCGGTGACTTGGGACACCAGAAACAAACCTATCCCAAGTGGCGACTCTGATAAATAAATAATCTCATTTCGAATAATGTCACTTAAAGTGGAAAAACTCCCTTATACACTATCCTTCCGGGGGTGGTGTGTAAAAAAGGAGGTGTGACAAGTTGTAAATATTATACTTGGTTGAATGAAAATTTGATAGTTTGACAAAAAAAAAAAAGCAATTACTCATATATATAACTAAAATTACTTGAAACAATATAAAAAAAATTACAAGCAAAGAAAAATTTATTTAATTTTCTAAATAATAACAATTACATATAAAATAAAACACAAAGAGTATTTATACATAAAATCTGTTTCAGTAAAGAATTTGGGAACTTGTTTTAGTGTTTCTGAAACTACTGAACAAATCTTTTTCTATAAGCATAAACTTCTATCCTTCTTTTGTCATTTTGACAAAAATATATAAATGATTTTCCACGAACTTATTTTTTAGAGGTGAGAACTGTCATTTTAACTCTCATGGAATGAAAAATCTTAGTCCACAATTTTTTTTAGAACTTGCAAAAAAAATAAGCTCTTTTTAAATTTTTTGCAATTTCTTTATAAAAATAACTACTTTATGAAATTATGGTGCGGGGTTGTTTTTCCAAATAATGTTTCAACTTTCAACAAACTTTTTCCAATTATAATATACTCATAAATTTCCGAGAAAAATAAAAAAGTTATATCCGAACATATCTAAAGCCTAATTTTCTATAAACTTTCTGTCTGAATATTTCATACTAAATAAATAGACCCCTCAGTCCTCACGTGATCCGCCGGCGAAAAGCAAGCCGGGATTCAGTTAAAAAGTCGAAATTAAAATATTAAACAAGAAAAAGCTATAAATATGGTGGTGCAATTTTCCGTATTCTGCTTCTAATGCTTTTAACGTTCTATCAAACACTTAGCGCACATCACTTACCTCCATTTCCGTGATCCGAAGCTTTTCAGGTTCTTCCATTCTTTCTCCATATTACCTGTACGTATAAATGTGTGAATATTATAATATCTAATTTGCATCTAAGTAGCAGATCTATAATTTCACAAAGCGTATTATTGCAATTTGCATCTCCCTGGAGAGGCGAATCCAAAATTTTAAATCATTTGGTGCACTGCTTAATATATTAACATACTCTTAATTTTTGCTTCAAAAAATTTCTCTCTACATATGTATACTGCATTTTTTTTAAATTTATTTACACACACGTGCATGTTGATCCACAGCATATATGCTGGATTCGTCTATGGTTTTTAATGACTTTGTTATATATCGTTGAGTAAATCACATTTTTTGTCGGAATTGGACGTTCTTTTTCAGCTGAGCTGGTTTTGTATGGATTCACGATTGCGATGAGGTAAGAATTTGGTTGTGAAATTGCAAGATGATTTGCATTTTTCAAAGAAAAATATAAGAGGTGGAAAAATTATATTTGATGTGCAGATTTTGAGGTTGGGATTGGAGAAAAAGCGAAAATGAGTGAAGGGCAGAGGTTTCAGCTGGGGACCATAGGGGCACTGAGTTTGTCGGTGGTGTCTTCTGTGTCCATTGTTATTTGCAATAAGGCGCTTATTAGCACCCTAGGTTTTACATTTGGTTAGTTTCATAACTTCTCTCCAAATGCATTTCTTTTTTGTGTATATCTGTGTGTGTGTGTGTTTTCTTCCATTAGTATAATGATTAATTTTACGAGTGAGTTGCTTATGTTGTAGAACTTGCTTCGTGAAATTAGGTACTTGCTTTACAATTAACATTTAATTTACCTTGAAAAGATAAATTATTTAATATTTTTAGAGGGAATGGACATAAAGGATTTCATATATCCAACAAGAACTATTCAAATTGAGGCATAATTGATTGATTCGTTGATTACTTTAACATGGTGAATCACAAAGAGCTTGTGGGGGAAAAGATTTCTAAGATTGTGTCATTCTTTTTGAGACGAATGTGTCCACCAACTAGCTTGGGATTGAGACGTAGTAGCTGTTGTTGTTTGGATGAATGTCATTCAGTAAACCTCAATATTTTACACCAAAAAAATGGGTTAGACTGTGTGTAATTAGTCGGGAGCAGAAACAGCTAAAATATTTTGGCTTGGTTATTTCTCTTGTTTGTGTTCTTCCTTACATACACCTCAGTTTGCAATTATTTCCTCTGTTCCTCTAATGTATAACAACTTAATTTGACAGTTGATCAACTTGGCTTATGTCATACTAGTAGGAGGAGAGAACATAAAATCAGGTCCAAGTGTATGCATAGTAGTTAAACAAAAAGTATAACATAATGCAAATCACTCTTGTGCATTTACATCTACAATATGTTAAACACCTCTTAGACATCCCAGAAACAATTTATTAGGCCGTCAGTTGGCACTTCCATTTTGGTTCTTGTAAAACCTAATACGTAAAAGAAATTCTCAATTTTATATTGTTCAGCTTTCAGTTCTAACTTTTTATATTACTTTCTCAGCTACGACTTTGACAAGCTGGCATCTTCTAGTTACATTTTGTTCTCTCCATGTGGCTATATGGATGAGATTGTTTGAGCACAAGCCTTTTGATCCGAAAGCTGTTATGGGCTTCGGAATACTGAATGGGTCCTCCATTGGACTTCTTAATCTGAGCCTGGGGTTTAATTCTGTCGGTTTTTATCAGGTTCATTCTTTTTCCTTTCTGCTATTAATGACTATCTGGCAAAAAAACTTTAAACATGTCTGCCTTTACTAGTGATATCAGGTTATGATCTTTTTCTCCTTGTTTTTAACTCTCTTTTCTTTAAGTTTTCCTTTTTATCATTTCTTGTCCCCTTATTTCTGTACCTATGTTTCAAGGTATAACAATGTATCCGCTGGGATAATTAGTTTGATATAGTTAAGTGTTTATAAGATCTAGAAGCTGCACGGCATGATTTTACAACTGGAAATAACTTGTTCCTCTTTGACCTTAAGTTACTCACAATGAAGATGTGCTACCAAAATCTTATCATGAAATGTTTAATGGTCATTACGAAATTAACAATCAACATAGCTAGCTGAATTGTAAGGTCTTTTCTATCTTTGGAAAGGGCAGCAAGCTTCTTCCTTGTTGTGGTTAGACACGAATTCACTTGATGTGATGCGATCCTCTTGTTTCCTGATGCTCTCAAAGTCTCATTATAGCTTAATTCTATTTTGTCTCTGCAGAGGAGATCTTTAGCTTCTGGTTAATTTCGAAACTTAAATGCAGTTATTTTTTCTGATCTTTTTATTGCTTTTGCATTATAGATGACAAAATTAGCAATCATCCCCTGTACAGTTCTTTTGGAGACTCTTTTCTACCGAAAAAAGTTCAGGTAAAATTTGCTAAATGTTGACTTACTCAATTTTCTTTACTATTTCCGAAAAGTTCTTAAAAAGCGAGTCTATGTTTACACTAGGTAGATGGAGTATCACAGTACATTACCTTCACAGCCATTGTTATTTCTCTTTTGGAGCATTTTCTCTTCCAAATAGTGATCTGTTTGTCGTTTTGTTAAGCTTGGAACATTACATTGAGGAAGCTTTTTCACCACCATGTGTTTGGCTCAAACCAGAAGTAATTTCTTTGAATAGTTAGAATTTGAGCCTGAATACTGTATCTTGCCCTTATCTGTTAAGTTGAATATCAGAGGCATAACATTCGTCACATACTCACATATACAGTCATTTCTTCTTGATTTGATAAAGATCAACTTAGACAAAAACTATGGCAACAGAAGGTGTTTAAGACAACTATCTGCATCAAAATCTGTATAAAACGGCAAGTAGTGTCTACAGGAAAATCCTCTGGCACCGTTATTGAGTATTTTCCCCTTGCATATCTATTTTATTTTTGTAGATCATGAAGTTTTTTTTTCTTTCCAATAGGGGTGATTAGGTGCATTATGCAGGCTGAAAGTAATTCAAACGTTGGCTAGCTTTTGGACCCAAAAAGGAGTTGGTTAGCTTCTATCAGCGAATGCTAGCAAAAGCGCTTTCATCATTTTAGCTAATTGATTTTTGTGTTAGAAATTCTACTACTTTAACATTATGACTGAAAGTCTATTGGTACTAGGCAAAGATCTTAAGTGCCATTAACAGGGTTAAAGGTAAAGCAGAAAATTAAGTTCTTTATAAATTGTGCTTTTAAAATGCAAATATGCCTGTGAAATGCTATTAATCATTAAGATTGTTAGAGCCAACCATATCAAAATTCTTTTGGGGTCCTTAACAATTCAGAGATCCATTTGAACACTCTCGGTCAATTTCATTAGTTCTCCTGTTAGGTTTTACCACTCTCAAGATTGTTTCTCCTATTTTTATGTGATGTTAAGAAGCATCCTTGTCAACATGGCTGGAATCTTTTTCAAGGAAATTCTTTCTTGCTTGATTCAAATATTGACGATTATGAGTTAGATGCAATATTGAGGTTGCAAGTGACTGGTAAATTATCATATAAAAATAATAGTCATGGGGCGGTAAGTCATGGAACTATTTGAAAAGGTGAGAGGAGATAATGGGTATTTTTACTCTGAGTATCAGTATGCACAAATTATTATTTTGATAACTGAGAAACCCCGAGGGTCAGTGGTGCACGGTTCGAAACTCATGGATAATGAGCCCATCGCTCTAACCTTCTCTACTTAAATACTAGGCTTTTGCCTATGACAGAGTCCAATTCATGACATGCGCCCAATCCACACGTCACGCATTGCACTCTTACTACTAGACCAAAGCCCTGGAAACCATTTTGGCTCCACTACTGTGATCTAATTAACCTCTATGTATCTGTTGGTCCTGAGTGATATTAGTGCTCTATGAAGTGATACTTTTAGCTCTACAAGTTCTGCTTTCATCTACTGTTTCGCTTTATGCATTTATGAAATTACTCTCTTAGTTGTACATATTTATCTAACGAGTTTTTTTTTTTTTTTCAACTATGATTTGCAGTAGGAATATCCAGCTTGCACTTACCGTTCTTCTTTTTGGGGTTGGAATTGCAACAGTAACTGATTTGCAGCTCAATCTCTTGGGTTCTGTTTTATCTATGTTTGCAATTGTCACCACTTGTATTGCACAGATTGTATCCTTTGCTGTATTGTCAATCAATTCTTTCTGTTCTTTGCCTCAGTGTCTCCATGCCTCCATCCACTTCATAGATCCTCAGTTTAGCAACCTTATTTGTGGCAAATAAGATTTAAAACTTTTTTGGAAGTTATTTATATGTATTAGCAAATGCTGTTGGACCTATAATTTACAACTATTGTATGATATCTTTCTCTTGCTTGGATATCTTAACCCATCTTCTCAGATGACGAATACCATCCAGAAGAAGTTCAAGGTTTCTTCAACCCAGCTCCTGTATCAGTCTTGTCCTTATCAATCACTTACTTTGTTTATAGTAGGACCATTTTTGGATGGGCTTTTGACAAATCAGAATGTGTTTGCTTTCAACTACACACCAAAAGTTCTGGTAAGTTAGAATTTTTTTTCCAATTGTAAGTTAGATATTAACATTATTCATTAACTTCAACGTGTTGATGGCAGGCCTTTATTGTTCTCTCCTGCCTTATATCTGTGTCCGTGAATTTCAGTACTTTTTTGGTAATTGGCAAGACTTCTCCAGTCACCTATCAGGTCCTTGGACATCTAAAAACATGTCTTGTTTTGGCCTTTGGGTATGTTCTTCTTCGTGACCCCTTCAGCTGGCGAAACATTCTGGGCATCGTCATTGCTATGCTTGGAATGATACTCTATTCATATTGTTGCACCATTGAGAGCCAGCAGAAGTCCATAGAGGCTGCATCCCATCTCTCTCAGGTATTACACCTTTGTTTTTTAGTATTCTACATTATGTCGTGTCTTTCCGGAACATAGACAGACAAAAAGGTACTCCTATTTTTCATACTATGGGCCAATGATTTGCAAGATTGCCAGTAATGGAGGCCAGTAGGCCCAATATTACATCCTCTCATTTCACCTGATTACACTACTGCTAAATCTACAATATGCTTACAAATGGATCACTTAGTGGCACGGCTCCCTTTACTACCTCCTATTGTGTTACCTACTACTACTACTACTACTGCTGCTACTACTACTGCATTTGCGTTATGATTTGCTAACAAAACTGTTTAGTTAGTTGCACCCCCGTAGGAAGGGCAGATCTAGAAGAAAGTTAATATTTAAACCATATGCTCCCTTCACTTTAAATCGCTGATCTTCTGGGAACTTGTTTTTTATTAAGTAGTATTAAATTTTCCTCTATGTTAGACACGTAGATGTACTAATCCTATCTGCTGTTTCTGTGGTTGAAGGTAAAGGAAAGTGAATCTGATCCTCTAATAAATGTTGAAAAAGGCACTGGCAATTTAGCGGATAGTATTGTTGCTAAGGCTCCTGGCTGGAATTCTAACAAGGATCAGCACGTATAAAATTTCTAGCACTGTCTATTGGCTAGCGGTTGATCAGAGTATAGATAGAAGTTTTCAGCGATGAAGATGTCGCTGCAAAGTTTTCCATACGTCACAGAATGTGTTACAACTTACAGCATTTGAATAGAATGTAGCTTTCTATTTTGCAGTTGGTGGATTTGAAGGATATGGATAGCTGTCCTAATGTAGCAGTTTCATTATTGAACCTTGTTAGACATATATATAGCATATATTTTTTCCTAGTTGAGTATTATGTTCTTCAGAAACTCTCAGATCGTTCCTCTCTCTGGATTAGTTTGTTCATATGAAGCCAATGAAGATGTTGCAATCGGATTTGAATACATAAAAAGTAGTAATAAACTTTTGATTGACTTCAAAAATAGTAATGCCATTCTTTTTTAGACAAAGGAAGTAACATAGGTCTGTAACTTTGTAGGGAAGACAATCCAACCAAAAACCAGAAGAAAAAAAGAAAGAAAACATAACTATAACGTAGAGAAGGGATGGCAAAACTTTGGGCACAAAAGTTATTTCGATATCTCACACCATATTAGCATTCGTCGTCGTGATCATACATTTCCAGAAAGCTGATCCTTGTGACACAAAGATGAAAGTGCAGAAAGTAATTAATGTTAGCTAAGAATGGGGTCGTAGTTGGGCTCGGCGACTCCAACTTCCCATTTCACACACATAAAAATTACGAATTACTGTACAAACTCACTTTTTTTTTTCGAAAAAGAATTGCACCAGCCGGGAATCGAACCCGGGTCTGTACCGTGGCAGGGTACTATTCTACCACTAGACCACTGGTGCTTCTTGAGAATGGTTAATCGTTCCAATCTATGTTTACTTTATTTAGCATTTGGCAAACTGATAAATTACTAGTATTACTCATTCCAGTACAGCTTATGTGGCCCATTTTGAAAACAATGACATGTTTTTTCGTTTGAGAATAATTAATTTTACACTTTTGTTTTACTTTTAATAAAAAATTCTTATTGCCATACAAATATTATAACATGCTTAAGGTCATAATTTTAAAAAATTTATAATCACCCGGGTATTATGAATTTTTTAAGAAGCACAGGTTTCGAAAATCTTACCTACTAAGTGGGCGTTTGGACATTAGTACTATAAAATTCCAAAATATGGTGAAAAAAATTTTCAAGTGAAAATGATTTTTGAAATTTAGAGTTGTGTTTGGACGTGAATAAAAATTTTAGGTTGTTTTTGAAGTTTTGTGAGTGATTTGAGTGAAAATTTTGAAAACAGTTTTTTGGAGTTTCTCAAATTTTCGAAAATTTGCAAAATGCATCATCAAGTGAAAATTAAAATTTTATGAACAAACACTGATTTTCAAAAAAAAAGTGAAAATTTTTGGAAAAAAGAGAATTTTTTTTTATGTCCAAACGGGCTCTAAATTTCTTTCTTAAATCAAACGGGAGGGAATAACATTAAAGAAACTTGAAGGGGCAAAATGATCAGCCGCGAAAATTAGAGTTACTCCAATATTACCATCAATTTACATTGCTTCCCATTCTCTGGAAAAAAACGAAAACCCTAGCTTCTGTGAGCAGCCGTCGAGTTCCAGCCAGCTCCGAAAATGGTAAGAGAAAATTGAACTTTTTCTACAATGTCAGTTTAATCTCAGCAAACTATCACTCTCTAAGCTTTTTATTTGTCAAATTTGTAGACGTTCAAGAGAAGGAACGGAGGTCGCAACAAGCATGGACGTGGCCACGTCAAATTCGTGCGTTGCTCCAACTGCGGCAAATGCTGCCCCAAGGTACCACTTTAAATACTGAGATAAGCACACTTTGGTTTTGGATCATTAAAAGATGTTAAATATTATCGTTTTTTTTGTTCCTATGAAACTATTGTTGAAGCTTTTTGATTTTAGGTGCATTGTACAATTTTATATACTTTCCGAGTATCTATTGAGCTTTTATACATAGAGTTGTGAGCCTTTAGTTTAAGATAATGACCAATTTGCCTTGTGAGATGACTGATTTATACTGGAATGAAATGTGTTCGAATAGAGGACTGGATATAGAGAATTATTTAACCAAAGATGACTCTAGCTTGTAAGTTGTAACCTATGTGTTCACGTGAACCTTGTAGCTCTTGCTCAAACCCTGTATATGCATTAAGAAATTCACTTAAGTATCTATAAATATTTGACTGTAAACCCCGTTATTATTATATATTAACTCGAGGTCGTTGAAGGAACGGGTAAACATCAAATCCTGGATCTGCCTCTGTAATATAACTAACCTCATCTAGTTTCAGATTGAGGTGTAGTTGGTTGATTGACACACTGAGTTGTAAACGCCTGCTGGTTAGTGCTTGTTGCCTTGTTGATTGGGTTTGATGAAAGTGGTGTGCTTTTTCAGCAGTTTTGTCAAAGGCTCATTTAAGGCGCGTTTAAGCCCTGAAGCTCAGAAAAGCTGAAGGAGTGCACTTCGCCTCGCTTTAGTTGTGCTTCAGTGTAAGACAAGGCACTAAGGCGTGCGCTTCATTGCCCATGAGTTCTCTCTTGAATCAAGCGGCATTAAACAACAACTACAATCAGAAATAAGTGTATTAGCTGCTACGGGAAACATTATGAATGAATTTGTTACTTTGTTCTTGAATTACATATAATTTTTTATTTATTTCCTTCATTGCGCCTTTTTTAACTAAAGCCCACATTTTAAGTGCGCTTTGTGCTTAAAGCCCAAATAGACCTAGAGCGCTTTTTAGAGCTTTTCGCCTTTGACAACATTGTTTTTCAATAGTAGTTTGGGAAATTTAGCAGTTTGATAATATATGTTATTTAGTACAGTTCGTATTGTGGAAGTCTGTTCTCTGAGTTATAGCTGAGACCTAGTGTAGATTCTCTCTGTTTTGTATCTTATGACCAACATGGAAAGGAGAGACGTGTGGCTTCACTTTCTTTTGGCATTGTTATCATGCTGATGTTGATATAAGACAAGTTTGTTGACAAGAGTTTGCGACTTAATTTGATGCTTGGTACTCCTATTATGTCAGGACAAAGCCATCAAGAGGTTTCTTGTGAGGAATATTGTTGAGCAAGCAGCTGTTAGGGATGTGCAGGAAGCTTGTGCTTTTGAAAGTGAGCCTCTTCTTTTTCCTTTTTTTTTCTGTGGAGTGTGGATATGTTGTGAAAGAGTCTACAGTGCACCTTTCTTTGTTCTGCAGTGATCCTCGTGGAGCACTAGTTTATGCTCATACAGCAGCTAACATGAAATATGTTCTCTGCAGCGTACACTCTGCCTAAGCTGTATCTGAAGATGCAATATTGTGTATCATGTGCCATCCACTCAAAGGTGGTTAGGGTCCGCTCTCGAACTGATAGGAGGGTCCGTGAGCCTCCACAGCGATTCAGGCGCCCAAGGGTATTCTACTCTATTTATCATTGAAGCTTTTTCTGCTATCTAAATTGAAGATCAAATTTCAGGAGTGGAAGGCAGTTTTCTGCCTCTGAAAAGAAAAGACTGGAGCCTCAAACATAGTGTGTCAACTAGAACTGCTTGCCTTAACCAATGCCGCCCATACTTTGGTTACTCCTATTTTTTTACCCTTTTTTTCTGGCTGAACCTGATGAACCAAAAAAAGACTAATAATTAAAGCCGCTTGCCTTAGCCAATGCCACATACTTTGGGTTGCTGCTGAGCTTTTGCCAGACTCTCTAGCAAAATCGGCCTGTGCAAAGATTTAGGCCTTTCAATGCTTTGTGCAAAATACATTATAAGCTTCAGTGAACCAATCTTGTTCTTACGCTTAACTAGAGCTTCTTTTTCAGGATGATGCTCCAAAGCCTGGTCAAGCTCCACGGGTTCCTGGAGCTGCTCCGACAGCAGCAGCTCGTACTTGAGTGCCTGCTGTTTTGATCATGTTGTTTAGCTATAATGTGAAAGTGACTATGAAGTTTTGTTATATATTGTGGTTTTGAGTACTTTTTGGTTCAGTTTAATGGGACCAAGTACTATTTATGGCATGAAATTCTGGCTGGAGAATAGAGATTTAAGTTCTATGAATTTAAGCATTTTCTGTTTGCTTTGAGATATCACATCTGCCTGATTGGTCAAATAATCAGTTTTCTTTTTTTTTTTTTTAATCTGAGTACCAAATACAAACCTTGTTGGAAACAATGCCCTGATGTAAGACTTCTCAAACAGCAGCCCTTACATATTTTGAATTTTTTGAGTCATTTTGCTACTGGAAATAGTATACGATATATTTTACTTTCTAGAGTTTAAGTTAGAAAATGGTATATAGCCCGTTTGCCTTACTGGTTTGTCTAGCCATAATAAGCGTTCAGATTTGTTGGTTTGTCATTTCCCTTTCCCCGTGATATTTCCTAACATCCATAACTAGAAAATGAGATAACTTCAAGAGATAATTGTGAATTTCTTAGTCTTATTTGTCAAGGTTCACATACTTTTCCATTTCTCACTAGAGTTTGCTTTGCTACTGCCAACAATTATTGCGTAAAGGGCCTTATCCAAACAAACAGAATCATTTGTCCCATCAGTGGTAGCTTTGTTTTTTCCTTTTGTATACAGTTATGTCACCAGGAAGTTACACGCTTAAACTGTGACCCAATAAGTTTGGTTGCTTTACGGCATTAATCTTAGAAAACGATTCTTTTTAGTAAGAGATACACTAAATAAGGGTGTTCGATGCACTAAGCTCCCATTATGCACGGGGTTCGGAGAAGAACCGGATCATATTATTTTCTATCTCAAGCATGGATAACTGACATATATAAATAAATGACTTATAATAGCGGGTAGAACTACGCTGACAAAAACATTAGCATTGTCTGTCTACATAATTTAAAACCTTTTAGTAACTAGCTTAGATAATGTACAAACAAAGAATAGGATCTTTTAAAACAAGAATTATGGTCTGGCATATAAGTGTAGAGACAGAAGGGGAGCCTTGGCGTAACTAGTAAAGTTACTGTCATGTGACCAGGAGGTTACGTGTTCGAGCCGTGGAAACAGCCTCTTGCAGAAAAGCAGAATGAGACTGTATACAATAGACCCCTATGGTTCGACCCTTCCCCGAACCCCGTGCATAGTGGGAGCTTAGTGCACCGGATGTTTTTTAAAAATAAAATAAAATTATATAAGTGTAGAGATGGAGAGAGATGTGACATAATCCTTAGATTTGTGTCAGTTGTGTGGCCCGCTGAGCAACAGAATTCTGAAAATACGAAATGGATTTTCCTCCTATGCTAAAATCAAGACGAATAGGTTTAAGTCCAAATATCTCTATTCAGTATTCACTGTTACTTCCTAGAACAATAATTGGTCAAAATATGAGTTAGTAAAAACTTTTTTAAACGAGATAGTCACACAATTTATGTTTTTTTGAGCCGAGAATTTATCAAAAACAACTTCTCTACCTTTACATGGTAGGAATAAAGTCTGCATGCATATTACCCCTCAAATGCCACCTGCGAGACTATACTGGATTTTTTGTTGATATCGTTGAGATAGTCACATAAATTAATACGACATTGATACAACAAGTTTTAGGTTATATGTGCAGTGGGAAAGCCTATAATTTTCGCTCACTCTATAACATATTTCTCCAATATTTCTTTTCTTTTTTCAACATAGAGAGAGAGATCAAAACTCCTTTTTCGACAAGCAAGTTGGTCTTCACATGGTACCACTTGACATGTTATCTTGATATTGAACTAAGGTAATAAATTATATATATTTTTCATTACTTTAATAATGTAAAAAGTTTATTTATTTACACAAAATCAGTGAATATAAATCATTTGTATATTATATAAAATGGCATTATTTGCTTAACCATGAATCATGCTCGGTGCACAAGGTATCCCGCGTTCACGCAGGGTCCGGAGAAGGATTGATGATAGGCTATAATTGCGTATTTTAGTCGATTATTACACTCTAATTTACTGCACTTTAGTTGAGTTTGCGCTTTAATCGCTAGTGTTTGCACTAACGGTGTGTTTTATGCCTTGTAGGAGTGATTCCGAGCTATATAGATGTTATGGAATGAATTCAAGTGATTTGGAGCTTCGAAGTCTGAGTAAAAGTTCAAGGAATTAAGCCGGGATCGTATTCGGGGATCAACGGATGATAGAGCAACAAAACGAAAAATCGAGTAGGCATATTGCGCACTGTCTAGTAAAATACACATAACTTTTTGCTCAGAACTCCATTTGGGCTCCACAATATATGGTTGAAAAGCTAACTCAAAGGTCTACAACTTTCATCTTTTAGGTTTTTCCAAATTCCAAATGGAACAGGGTGAAGGACGCGGCCGAAACTGCAACCGCGGACCTTAGGCGGGCTGAGGCAGTATACCTGCTGTATACCGCGGTCGTACCGCGGTTTACCGCGGCCGCGGCTGTCCAGACGTGAAAAAATTATCCTTTTTCGCGTAGGAGAAGGTATAATAGTTTGGTCCTGACCCTACTTGGTATATATACAGGGAAAAATAGTATTTTGGGGGGTTGGACATATTTTTGACACAAATTCGACCTAAGGAGGCAGAGACACAATAGAAGACATAGCGGGAAGGATTCCGATAATTGGGGAAATCATAACTCTAGAACTCCTTAATCTTTTCTCCAACCTGTAGTATCCTTAGTGTTAATTTATTATTTTAATTTGTTAGTTAGTTAGTTAAACACAAGAATCTTAATATCTATAAGTTAGAAATTGTTCAAGCTTGTATTCTTGGTGATAGTGAACAACTGTAGCTAAGCCTTAGTTCTCTGTGGAATTCGACTCCGGACTTGTAAATCGGATTATATTTGCAACGACCGCTTAGTCCTTTTTATAAGGCATAGTTGGGCGTGATCAAATTTTGGCGCCGTTGTCGGGGAACTAACGGTGTAGTTGTAGCTGTACATATTGCTAGGTTTCAAGTTTGAACTTTTATTTTTATTTTCTGTATTTGATTTTTTTTTGTTTTACTTATTAATTTGAGCAACATGGCATATTGGAATTATGAGAGTTTTGATGTTGGTAATTCTACTTTTGATCCTTCTTATGCGTTTAGTGGAGGAAACCACCCTGGGCAAAATTATCAAAATATTTTCGAGAGCGAGTTATGTGCACCAACTCAATCTTATGTGTGGAATGTGTGCTATATGTGTGGTGGTCAAGATTGTCACTTTCATGGTTGTGCTTATATTTCTTATCTTCCCCCAACCCCTTACTTTGATGGTTCTTCTTTTTCTTGTGATGTTAATAGGAACAAAGAACCCAGGTATGAGGACCTAAAAGAGATCGAGGATATGCTAAAGTGCCTTGTGGAACAATATGATGAGATACAACTGCGGGCACAAAGGCAAGGGGCAACTATTCACAACTTGGAGGCTCAAGCGAATAAATTAATTGAACCGTATAAAGCGCAACAAGTTGACATTGTGGATAGTAGCCAATATGAGTATAATTGGCTGCAGAAATTGCCATTATACTGGAGGATTTAAAAAAATACGAGGATGAGCTAGAGGAGGAGGTCAGAGTAGAATACCAACAACCTATCCAGCTAGAATTTGAGGATACCGATGTTGAAGAAGTAATACTAGAGTCAACCAGGGACATTGAAGATACAAATTTAGTTGACTCTAGTGTGAATGATGTTGAGGATGTTGCAAGTCGTGAAGTTCATGTGTTTAAGTGCATTGGTCCACACTCTAAGCATTTTTCCACATTATGTTTGGATGATGATATGGAAATAGAGTCATCCGAGCCAATTGAAGAGTCAAGGAATAAGGTCAAGGTGCATATATTCTGGAATTCTTCTTGCTAGAAAGTCAGGATTACATACCTCATACAAAGGCCAAGGAGTGCAGAATAATACATTATTTCCTTGGGCCAGTTAGATTCGTTTCACCACCCCATGACCATAATCATAAGCTTGAATCAAAACTTGGGGTTCAATTCATAAGCTCGAGGTGGAGGCAAAAAGTGATTCACGTCGTGTCGCGACGTTAAATCAAGCGCTTGTTGGGATGCAACCCAGCTTTATTTTTTTTATTTAGTTTATTTATTTATTTATTTATTGTATTATTCTTGTAGTGTCGATTTTTTATTTTCTAGGAGCATGGAAAGCAAAGCTATTGGAAGGATGCAACAACAAACCAAGCGGTTGGAACTAAGTGTGAGGTACCCGCACGAAGGACCAAGCTTGGGAGAAGTCTGAGTACCCCATGAGTTGTTAGTGCTTCGGCCTTTGGTCTATCAGGGAGTCTCTTTTACCCTTTTATTAGTTATGGTGTGCATTGGGGACAATGCACAATTTTAAGTGTGGGGTGAGGAGATTGTCTGGGTGACTTTCTATGCTATATTTTAGTTGTGTTAGTTTAATTGAATATTTTTTGGCTATTTTTTTAGAAAAACGAAAAAAAAAAGTTTGGACTTTTTCGCACGATGAATATATTAGATAATTTTCTTGAGGGATTTAAGTCTAAAAAATAAAATATAAAGATTTTCTTTGTAGGTAGTGTAATAATTCCCCCTTGGTTTTTCTTTGTGCCGTGGTTCTTTTCCAAGGGTTTTATTTGAACCGGGTGTAGTTAGTTTTTTTTTAGGAATAGGAGTCATTGTGTTGTATTTTGAAATGAAGCAATATCTCTTGACTTTGTTATGCCTTGAGAATAGTGAGTATTTTGGTTGTGACGCTTAGGCTCAGTTGTTGACTCTTGTATAAGTACCTTAAATTTTATGATCTTAAATTTGCTTAACTGTTTGACTAGAGTGTCTTGATGAAACCAATCCTGAGTGAGTTATATGCCATGTGTGTGTAAGGATGTGTTATATTCTGTGCATTGCATTTGATGCCTAGAACTTGCCCTGTGTGTTTGCAAAGCGAAATAGTAGTTTTGTTCAGTCTTCTAAGTGATATAGGCGTTTCTTTGTTGAGCCAGATATGTATATTTTACTCACCTAATTGTTATATATCGTAGTTAACCCCTTTGAGCCTGTAATCTTATTTTTTTGGCAACCATATTACAAGCCTTACCCATTTGTTTGAATTAATCATCTATTTGAACCTTTTAACCTCTCA